AAATTAGCCACATTCTGCAAATATTTACCAATCTAACACCCGGATTTTACACAAATAGCACCTAAACATAAATTAATTACTAAATTATCACCCAGACGATGCCCACTCTCGGGAGGTGGCATGTGTGGCGCGTGAACAGTGCTCCGATGTCGGAAAATTCCCGGAAAAATTCTTAAAAATTATTTTAAGCGATTTTGAGGCACTTACAAAGCTCGGTTCACAATTTTGAACGGCGGAGAGCTCTATTCCAAAACGTCGGAAACTTTGACGGTCTCACCCTTCTACGCACTGACGACGACGGAGAAACGGAAAACACCGGTGGACTCGGAACGATACAAGGAACACGATGGTGGGGGAGGTGTCGTAAACGGACGCTCGGATCGTCGTGAATCGATGAAAACCCAATTGAAATCGAATTATTACCGACGATACTTCCGACTGAAATTCACGACGAACGGCGACGATTCACGACATAAGGTTTGAGGGGTTTTGTTCCTCGCTCGACAACGAACACGATGGTGGTTTCGGCTCGTTGATCAGAGGTCGGACGGTGTGTAGATCGGAGATCGAAGTAGGGTGAACGGGAGAGGGAAATGGGAGAATCCTGGAAACTGAGCACGGGTGGGGGAGTTATATTTCATCAAATATAAAAAATTGTTAAATCATGAATCTAGCCACTGAATTTCCTGTACTTTTTAAAACGGTCTGCCAACTTTGAAATATTATAATTTAATCCTCAATTTTCTTCCAAAATACCAATTAAATCTAATACTTTATAATTTCTTAAAATTTAGCCCCTAAATTGGGGTGTTACACTCCATTTTTTTTTTCAAATAATTCATTCATCATATTTTGCAACAGTTAATTTCAATGTCGAACATTTTTATTAATGGTATTGATTAAAGGGTAAAGTACATAAATATTATCTAATATAGTATGTTGTTTCGTTAAGTTCCGACTAAAATTATAAAATGATATCCCGATTATAAGGCGCTACTTTGTTGAGTTATTCGACTATTAAAAGTTATAAAATAGTCTGTCGACTATTCATATGTTTCAAACTCATCTTTTGCCGTTAAAAAATTGGTAGTTGTCTGAGCTGAATGTTAACCTATTAACTAAGATATGATAAAATATGATCCTAAAATCGTTTGAGCTGAATTTTGTAGATCGACTCTCTGTTTACATTATATCGTCGAGACAACACTTGAAATATTATGGTGTCGAGCCAATGCTTAAAAGCAACAATAGTGTCACTAAACATTATTAAAATATGATTTTATTATATCTCAATGAGCAGATTAACGTCCAGCTCGAAAGGCCATCAATTTTAAACGGAAAATGACAAGCTTGGAACACATGGATAGTTAGGTGATCATTTCGTAACTTTTAATAGTTAGTAGACTTAACTAAATAATACCTTATTGTCGGAGATCATTTTATAACTTTTAATAGTCGAAAACTTAGCAAAGCAACACATATAATCAGGACTATCCATGTACTTTACCTTTGATTAAAATACTATATTTTTTTCTTTTATGTATGTCCAAATCTCGTTAAGAGAATTTCTTTTATGTATAATTTGAACAGAGTAATGAATATATCTCACCCTTCATAGACATATTACAATCACGTGTATCTTGCATGTCTTACACCGTTACACGTAAGATCCTACTTGATCATATTGTATACATAAGTAACTTTTGAAGCAGCTTCACACACCCATGTATGAATGAGTATTCAATTGAGTTGAATCGAGATGAGATATAAAAAATTGAATTAGTTGGATTAACGATTTTTATTTTATACCTCAAACTTTAATAGTTTTTTTTAAAATTGAGCTGAGTTTATTAATTTTGAGTTAAATTATTCGAGTTTTTATTTAAATTTAATTATAAATAGTTATATTGTTAGGATACTAATTGGTTCTAATTTAAATGACTTTTTATAACCATATACGATATGCATATATATTTCTTCAATTTTTTATATGTGATAAACATATATCATGCAGAGTTGAAGGACTCGACTTGAATCTAAAAATCAATCTACTGTTACTAAAATTTTCAAATTATTTTATAATTCAAAATTTATTTAATTTTTTTTTGAATTGAATCGAAATTATAAAATTAGTTAATTTTTTTAACGTTTAATCAAATAAAAAATTTCAAAATTTTTTAAATAGATGTTAGTCACCTCTACACTCGTATGTCAAGCTCATCATAACTAAAGGTAGATATAGACAGAAGGGAAGAGAGGTGTCACAAAACAATAAAATAAGAAATCAATAGGGAAGATGAAAATTTTAACAAAATATATATATATATAGGCAAAATTAGTGCAATAATATTCGCGTCAAAAATAATTTTAAATATATAATAGGTGGAAAATTATTTAAAAATCTAAAACATTTGTTACAATAGATAGAAACTCGTCATGTTTTTATGATAAATTCCATAAAATATATATTTTGTATTAAAATTTGTTAAGAGGATATGATAAATTCTAATAAATAAATTGTATTTTATGAAATTCATCTATAGAACTTGGCTTATCTTGTTTAAATTTATTGTTTGTTTTTTTAACAAATATGGTGTGAATATAAGATAATATACGTTCAAAGACTTTCAACTCTTTGACAATGAAAGCTTATATTCCTGGCATATGCGGTATTCAAACCCGGAATATCAAATTATAACAACAAATCTCTTAATCACCGAAATTTGTTGATTCTAATTTCTTTTATCTCTAATTATATGTATACAAGTTAATGATTATTTTATTAATATTTTTATACTTGTGTTAAATTTTGAAGGAAAAAGTATTTCACTAATTTAATTTTTATTTCTCTAATCTATTTCTACCTAGTGACCCTTAATCTTTTGATAAATGAAAAAAGATTATCACATAAATAAAATTTCGTACAAATAGGTAAAACTACTTCATTATTCTTTTCTTCAACAAAACTTTGATCCTAGGGTCGTTTAGAACCTGGAAGACCCTTTCCTCCATATTCGATATCTATTTAAAATTTGGATTAAAAAAATTAAAGAGAGGATGAAGAATTTTTTTTTTAAAAAAGAAATTTGTCCACAGACACAGACAACACTTTATTTAATTATCTCATGATTCACTCATTAAATAAATGGGTAAAGTGCACAAATGGTCCCTTGACTATAAAGCGTTGCTTTGTTGAGTCCTTCAACTATTAAAAGTTATAAAATGATCCTCTAATTCTATGAAGTTGTTTTGTTAAGTCTTTCGACTATTAAAAGTTACAAATGGTCACCCGACTATCCATATATTCCAAACATGTCCTTTTTCGATAAAAATTGACGGTCGTCTGAGCTAGACCTTAACATGTTGAATGAGATATGATAGTCGTTTCAGATTATGAGATCAGATTTTAACATATATCGGTTAGCAAGTTAACGTCTAGTCTGACTACTGTCAATTTTTTAACAGAAAATGATGAGTTTGGAACATATGAATAGTCGGGTGACAATTTCATAACTTTTAATAGTCAGGGGATTCAACAAAGCTATGCCCTATAGTCGAATTACTATTTTGTAATTTTTAATAGTCAAGGGACTTAATAAAGCAACACCTTATAGTCGAGGGACTATTTGTGTAATTTTCCCTAAACATAAATAAACATTTGACTAAAACTAAAACTAATTGTTATAAACTTGTCTGTTGGATTTCATGAATCTTGTTGCTTCTTTACTCCTTTTGCAGCCCTACAAATAGACTCTTTTATCAGTAGTTCAGATGTTGCACTCATTTTAATTAAACTCATTGTTTAATTAATTTTCAAACTGTATAAAATTCATTGACTTCGTATATTTTAATTAAAGGTTCCACCATAAATTAATAAAGAATTACATATCATTTATTTTTCCAGGTGAAACGTGTGAAATCTTTTTCTTTCTCTATATTAAAATGAACTAATATTTAATATACTTGAAAAACATCAATTAAAATTAATTTTTTTGTTACAATTAATTAATAAGTTGACTTTAGCCAAATTGAATTCCATTTTTATATACTAACTCGTTTCACTATTCTCGCATTTAAAGAATGTCACTTTCATTTTTATATTTCAAAATCATGAAAACAGCACAGTAACATCATTAGTTAGCAATCGAAGTAAAGGTTGAACCAAGCTTGGGAGGTGAAGATCCGTCATGTTCGACACGGATTTAATAAGATTGTGATGGCTTTAAGTTAGAGAATTTCTTTTTGATTCGTCTCCTAAAAATATCATTTTCATACTTGAATTTGAAACTTTGAATAAGATAGAATACTATTATGTTCTACAGTAACTAAAGGAAATTTTTTTTCTGAAGATTTACATATTATTATTATTATTATTTTGATAAAGAGAGAAAGAGTTTGTTCGAGATTAAGCTCACAATTTAATTATAATTAATAAAATTGTATCTAACTCCATTATCTTCATACGATAATCGTTTAAGATATTATTATTTTTGTTTAATTCATAAAATTGATCAAACATCACTATTTGTGAATTCGAACCTAGTTATCACTACTATAAAATTTATTTTGAACATAATTTTCTTTAAAGGATTCGAATACCTATCAAAGATGATTAAATTACTTTTTTTTTTATTAATTTAATAGATTAAATGAGATATTAACTAAACTAATATATAATATCATTTTCCTTTTTGATAGTTAACAATTCAATAACAAAAACAATATTTTTTTTATAATTTTATAATTATTTTATAACTTTCTAAAAACTTGAAGATTAAATTTTTAAAAAGTAGCTCAAAATTCTTTAATTAAATATATACTTTAATCATAAATTAAATTAAGTTTGACGTGTCATCAATTAAATTAATAAACTATTTATAAGAATATAATAATGATTAAAAAAAACTCTTAAACACCTTCCTACTTTCGGCGTATTTAAGCCAGGCACGCCTTAGGCCATTTACCTCCAAACTAGATTTTAAGGATACAAAACGAGAAAGATGATAGCTGACTTTGAACGAATTGCACATGATACCGACGGGGAACCCCAAACCGATGACGATATTTATAGCATAACTAAATCCCTCCGTCTCCAACTCCAAGGCAGCATCGAGATCGGCGGCAATACTGGCACAACCAGCAAAGATATCGGCGGTCTTTATTCGGCTGAGCCTTTGGCTTTGATTAAACCGTCGGGAGTAGATGATATAGCTCGGGTCGTTAAGGCCGCTTCACAAGTTCCTCACATGACGGTTGCGGCGAGGGGTAACGGCCATTCCGTCAACGGTCAGTCGATGAACGATGGAGGGCTCGTGATAGACATGCGTTCCACGGAGGAAAACCTTTTCCGGCTCATTACATTAGATTGTTGCACTAATTACATCGATGTCTCCGGTGGGGCAATATGGGAAGACGTCTTGACACGGTGCGTTTCGGAGTTCGGTTTGACACCTAGGTCGTGGACCGATTACTTGGGCTTAACGGTGGGTGGGACATTATCGAACGCTGGCGTCAGTGGCCAGGCCTTCCGTTATGGTCCCCAAATATCGAACGTAATGGAATTGGACGTTGTAACCGGAAAAGGAGATATAGCCGTCTGCTCCGAAACCCAAAACCCGGAACTGTTCTTCGGAGTCCTGGGCGGGCTGGGCCAGTTCGGTATTATCACCCGAGCAAGGGTTAAGGTTCAGACAGCTCCAGACATGGTGGGTCTCTCAGTGCTTGAGTAACACTTTTACGCTACGTAATTTAGGTTGTTGTACGATTATTTTGTTTTTATTTTTGTTCATGTGATTAGGTAATGTCGTAACCGGTTTTCGTCCGGGCACGAATTTTTTTTTTACTCGGCGGGAAAAGTGATGTGAATAAATGGTTTTAAAATAATTTAGGAGTCGCCATCGGCCTTTCGGGTCAGGTAGGTCGAATACCTAAAAATCATCCTTTAAAAGAGTTTTTAAGAAAACATCGATTAAAAGATAAACTGATCTGCGTTTTAACCAAAAATTCATTCTTTTAGATAATAAAAAGGGATTCGTGGTCGGTTACGTTTAGGGAATGATTAGCACCCCTACAACGCCCAAAATTGGTACTTTTTAATTAGAAATTGTCTCTATTATTAGAAATTCAAAATTCAAAATAAATTTAATTTATAATCCTATTATTTTAAGATTATAATTATGAAAAATATATATTAATATATTTATAAATAAAATATTTATTTATTTAGAAATATCAGAAAAAGACTTCTAGGTGCCTTAAGACAGCTCTTTTCTTTGATATTAAAAATAAATAAATAATTAAAACAATTAATATATAATTTATAAAATAAGATATTTATTTATTTAAAAATATCAGAAAATGGACATCCAGTTGTTTTAAGAATGCCCTTTCTTAATATTAAAAAATAAATAAATATATATTAAAATATGATTATTAAAAATAATTTATGAAATATAAGATTTTAACGAATAAACAAATATTATTTATTATATATATATTTATTTATATAAATAATAATAAGAATAATAAAAAGTAATAATAATAAAATAATATTGCAAATAATAATTAAAATAAAAGGAATTAAAAATATAGTATTAAAATATAAAATATTAAAAAAATAATCAAAAATGAAATTTTAATGATTAAAATGTAAAATTATAAAACTAGAGTACTAATTCGAAATATATAAAAGATGGGCATTAAAAGTGTAATTTAACCATAATTCATAATACGGGATTAAAATAATAATTAATAAACTATGAGGGACTAAATTTGATATTTTCCTAAATATATATATATGTTGATAAGGACTAAATTAAAATAAAATAAAATTAGAAGACTAAATTAAAATAATCAAAAATTGCTTTCAGTGACTAAATTGCAAGGTATACAAATTTGGAGCACTGCGGACGGGGTTTACCTTTTATGAAATTACAGAAATACCCTCCCCAAAATGGCGTCGTTTGGGAGAGGGTATTTAAATACCCGAAACGGCTGGCCCTTCGGGCCAGCTCTCTCATTTCTTCATTCCCTCTTCTCTCTCAAAAATGAGAGAGCCAGAATTTGTCTCTGGCTTCTGTCTAAAACGAGAGAAGACAGTCCCGGTCAGCCACCGCTGCCGGGCTCCGACCACCACTGTCGGCCACCATTAACGGTGGCCGAAAAATTCTAAAATACACCAAAATATAGATCGGGACGATCTAAAATCGATTCTGGTGTTCTTTTTTCCTAAAAAGCTCCCAATCGGAGAAAATCTACGAAAGTACCTTCGGGTTTTGGTTATTTCCGGCGACGTTTGGTATCTCGAGGGTAAGTTCTTCTCTTCCCTGTTTTTATTTTCGATTGTTGATGCTTGCTGTGTTCTCGTTGCTTTTCTTACGTAGTTGTCTGGGATCGTTGGTGTAGTTCTTGCTCTTGTTTCTGTTTTTCTCCGGTTCTTCTCCTCTTATTTTGCAGGTGTGGTGGCTTTTATAGCCACCACCGAGGCTTTCGTCGGACTGGTCCCTTAGGAGGCTTTCGGTGAGTCACCGAGCTATGTGGTGACTCACCCCAATAGTTGCGACATGTGGGGCGGCTGGCTCTTCTGGAAAGCTCAGTGAGGCAGCAAGCGTCGACAGCAGATATTGGACCATCTGGCGGCGGCTGGGACGTGGCTCTCTAGAAGCAATGGCGGCGGTTGGGACGTGGCCCTAGGGTTATGATACCCTAGGGTTTTATCTGGAAAGCTGTGGACCGTTGGATCAAAACAGATCCAACGGCTGAGGTGGAGGCGGCTGCTGGTGATGATATAAACCCTAGATGGGTTTAGGGTTACTGTTGGGCCATCTGGGTTTGGTCTCTTGTAACTGGGCTCGTTTGGGTTGGGCCGGACTTGGCCTTTTTGTAATAATAATTATTATTTATTTAATAATAATAATATAATATAATAATAATAATAATAATATTAAAACAAAATAATAATAATAAATAAAACAAATGAAATAAAAAACTAGTGTCTTCAGCTGCCCCTCTTTGTTCATTCTTGTGTTAACGAGAATAGGACAAAGACTAAAGGACAATAAGTTTTTTTTTCATTTGACTTCACTTGATTAAGATGGTAATGTTGAACAAAATCTTCTTTGGGATTAGTTCGTCTCATTATGAACTTTTCCAGTGGGGATGATAATTTGTCTCCTTTTGTGATGTAATCTGGAAATGTTGATGCTGATCTATCTCCTTCTGTGATAGAATCATGCAAAAGATTGAACAAGTTCTTCTCATTATGAACTTCCTCTTCCTCTTCAGATGAATTCTTCTCATTATGAACTCTCTCTGGAAAAGTTGATCCATCGAGTGATGAATTCGAGCAACAAGTTCTTCTCATTATGAATTTCTTCTTCTTTCTTCAGATGAGTTCTTCTTATTATGAACTCGCCCTGGCAATGTTGGTCCATCGAATGATAAATTCAAGCGAAAAGTTGAACAAGTTCTTCTCATTAAGAACTTCTTCTTCCTTCTTCAGATGAGTTCTTCTTATTATAAACTCGCCCTGGCAATGCTGGTCCATCGAATGATAAATTCAAGCGAAAAGTTGAACAAGTTCTTCTCATTATGAACTTCTTCTTCTTTCTTCAGATGAGTTCTTCTCATTATGAACTCGACCTGGCAATGCTGATCCATCGAATGATGAATTCAAGCGAAAAGTTGAACAAGTTCTTCTCATTATGAACTTCTTCTTCTTTCTTCAGATGAGTTCTTCTCATTATGAACTTGACCTGGCAATGCTGATCCATCGAATGATGAATTCAAGCAAAAAGTTGAACAAGATCTTCTCATTATGAACTTCTTCTTCCTTCTTCAGATGAGTTCTTCTCATTTTTAACTCGACCTGGCAATGCTGATCCATCGAATGATGAATTCAAGCGAAAAGTTGAACAAGTTCTTCTCATTATGAACTTCTTCTTCCTTCTTCAGATGAGTTCTTCTCATTATGAACTCGACCTGGTAATGCTGATCTATCGAATGATAAATTCAAGCGAAAAGTTAAACAAGTTCTTCTTATTATGAACTTCTTCTTCCTTCTTCAGATGAGTTCTTCTCACTATGAACTCTTCTAGAAATGTTGATCCATTGAATGATGGATTTGAACTTTGCTAAAATCTTTGAAATTCCTGTCAAATATTCAACATGGATAAAATGAATGAAAATGCTCCTATTTTGCAAATGTCTAAATATGATGCATGAATGTTGATGCAATCTTCATTTGACTTCAAAATGGTGAACTCGGTTTTCCTCCACTTCATCATTTATTGCCAGGGTCACCTCTGGATATCAGTGTAGCAACTTATGCTATCAAGCTTGCATTTCTGAAGAACCATCTGATCAACTTGTATCTTTATGTCTTCTTTGCTTCATGAAAGTCTCAGAAGAATTGTTTCATTTGTGGAACTCTTATCGTAGTCAAAATTATGACCCTGATGCCCCATTTTGTCTTGGATAAAACCAACTTTCTTTGCTTGGAATTGTGCAGAAATCCGATAAAGCTTTCATCTTTGAAAAGAGAATTTGTCATCTTTTAAAAAGGGAATCTATCATCTTTGAAGAGTGTAGATGTAGATATTCCTGACTCAGCAGGGATTAATTAAGAGAGTAGAGTCTGTTCTAACTTAACTCTTGAAACACATCATAAGGAAGATTTATTCAATTCCTTTCATGTCCTCACATTTAAATCAGATCTCGAATAAGGCAACTTGGACCATATCATGTCGAGATGCTTAACAACAACCTGTAATTCAACCTTAGTTGGTACCACTAGTTTCTTATTTAAAATTTTAGTTCTCCTTCTGTGGAAAGAAATCTTCATCTTGTATCAATAAATGGAAACCATATAATTGCAACATTGGTTCAGCACCATAATCAATGGTTCGTAAAACATTTGACAATACATTCATCTTCTCATGTAGTTTCAGCTCAGATGTTCGTAAAGCATTTGACAACACATTTATCCCTTTTTTATGGCTTCTGCCAAGATTTCTCAATCATTGAAGCTCTTTGCATGGTGTTCAAAGTTTTTGTATGATGTCATAAGACCACTTGAGAACAAAACTCAATGGGAATACAAGTGAAATACTGGTATGACCAAAAAGTTGGTCAAATTCGCCAAATGTGCTGGTGTCGAATTGAATAGGAGACACTAATTGATTTCGATATCATCTCGGGCAAGGGCAAGTGTAATACTGATCACATTTTCTTCTGTAATGAGCATGGTAGAAAGTAGAAACACTTCAGCTATAGGATATATGCATAGAAAGATATCCGTGGAATTCTTGCTGCTGGGGATGAAACGCACATGATAAAACCCAAAATAGATGAAAACTCAATTCCTCCTGGCTGGCATGATAACCTCAATAACTACGGGAAAGAGCAATATACATGAGTTTCTCTCTTCAATGTCATCAAGTAAATAAAACTGATGTGAAAAATAGCTTCGTAACCTCAACAGTATGGTTGAAACTAACTGACAGGAATCTCAAAGAAATATTTTCAATTATCACCGACACACAAAATGCAAAATTCAAAGCTGAGATCTTGAGGAACTGAACCCTGGATCGAGTAGTCTACCTGGGGACCATCTTTATTCATGTAATTGTGATGTAGCTTAACAAAGAACATGATGTCATGTGAAACACGGTTAAGAAGATTGGGTATTTGAAAACATACTTGCTGAGTAGATATTTGTTCAACAACATGA